TTACTCCAAGCAGGTGTAATTTCAGATAAACTGTGGTATACAAACAATGCATGCCATCATGACTTTTAACCCTCTTTTAAATCCCCCTAGCATTCATCTCTTCAATCCAAAATGCAGTATTTGAGATTGCTCATTGTAACTCAGAATTCCCAGTCTGAAGCCAGATACAAGTAGTTTCATATGTTCCATCCTCTTCCTCTCCAGCTTTGCTCCATCAGGATTCTACTCTTTCAAGTGTTTAGCAGTAGCATGCTCACTCTTAAGACTTGTGGAGCCTGGGGCAAACATATAAGTGGGGTCTCCATATTTATGTCTTTTTTAAAATTTTAACTTTTTTATTGATTATGCCATTACATTTGTTCTATTCCCCCCTCCACCCTGCATGCCCCTCACTCACCACTCCCCCCTTTAGTTCATGAACACATGTCTCAAGTTCTTTAGATTCTGTATTTCCCCTACTATTCTTACCCTCCCCCTATTTTCTATCTACTGTCTATGCTACTTATTTTCTGTACCTTCTCCCCCCTTCTCCTTCTCCCACTCCCCTGTTGCTAATCCTCCACATGATCTTCATTTCTATGATTCACTCCTGATCCAGCTGTCCTCTTAATTTGCTTTTGTTTTAGGTGTGGTTGTTGATAACTGTGAGTTTGCTCACAGTGAGTTCAACTTTTTTATCTTCTTTTTCTTAGGTAAATCCCTTTAACATTTTATATAATAAGGGCTTGGTGATGATGAACTCCTTGAATTTGAGAAGCACTTTGTCTGTCCTTCCATTCTAAATGAAAACTTTGCTGGATACAGCAATCTTGGTTGTAGGTCTTTGGTTTTCATGACTTGGAATACCTCTTTCCAGCCCCTTCTTGCCTGTAAGGTCTCTTTTGAGAAATCAGCTGACAGTCTGATGGGAACTCCTTTGTAGGTGACTGTCCCCTTACCTCTTGCTGCTTCTAGGATTCTCTCCATTTTAATCTTGGCTAATGTAATGATGATGTGCCTCGGTGTGTTTCTCCTTGGGTCCAACTTCTTTGGGACTCTCTGAGCTTCCTGGATTTCCTGGAAGTCTATTTCCTCTGCCAGAGTGGGGAAGTTCTCTTTTATTATTTGTTCAAATAAGGTTTCCACTCGTGACTCTTCCCCTTCTGGTACCCCTATAATTCGAATGTTGGAACGTTTAAAGATGTCCTGGAGGTTCCTAAGCCTCTCCTCATTTTTTGAATTCTTGTTTCTTCATTCCTTTCTGTTTGGCCAATATTTGCTTTCTTCTGGTCCACTCCATTGATTTGAGTCCCAGACTCCTTTCCATTACTATTGGTATCCTTTGCATTACCATTCATTTCAATTAGTTTAGCTTTCATATGTTTCTCTAATTTGTGACTAAAATCAACCAGTTCTGTGAGGATCCTGATAACCAGTGTTTTGAACTGTGCATCTGAAAGTTTAGCTATTTCCTCATCGCTTAGATTTATGGGCTCTGGGGGTCTGAGTTGTTCTTGAGCCATTTTTGGTCTATTTGTGCCGGTAAGTAAGAGGGGGCGAAGCCTTAGTTGTTTACCAGGGCGGGGCCACCAGGTCTCTGATTTGTGACGCTGCGTTTGGGGGCGGGGTCAGAGAGGGAGCAATGGCGGTCCTCTCCACTAGCCCAGTCCTTCCATCCCACCACTCGCCCCAGCTTGTTTATCCAAGAAGAATTGTGGGAGCCTGCTGCCCCGCGCCCTGCGGTCTCAGTGCTCGCCTCTTCACTGGTTTATCTGCACGCAGATGCTCGACCTACTGCAGACAGCCAGCCGCGCCTCTTCCCTGTGTGCTCCCATAGCTAGCCCGCTATCCCATCTGCGCCTTCAGCTGCTTGCGCACCACCAGGTCAGGGATCTTTTCGGTCAACCGGCTTCACTGCTGGCTTACCCGTTTAGCCGAGCATTTCGTCCTTTTTTTTTTTTTTTCGGACTCCGTATTGTCGATTTTCTGTGTGGTCTGGTTATGTTTATCGTTGTTAAAAATAGTTGTTCTTAGATTTGATTGTGCACGGAAGCAAGATGGGTCCACCTACACCTCCATCTTGGCGGAAGTCTATTTATGTCTTATTACTTATTATAAATCAAGCAGTATTAAATAGGTTATCTTCCACTTTGGAAGTTATACCTCTATACCAACTGGATGGCAGGTAAAGTGTTAGAATATTTTGGACTTCTCAAGAATATTGTGTCATACAGAGGGATGGACTCTGACCCTTAGGCTGTCCTCTAACCAGTTCCGTCCTGTACTGTGAGAGCCTATGCAACACACTGAATGCACACTCTAGCCCATGAACTCACCCCTCCAACATGGGCCCCTGGACCACTCCTCCTTCCTAGATGCATGGACATTGAGGGCAGAGCCTACTGTCTGGGGGTCAGAACTGGGAGGGATGACATCACTGGCCCAGGATAAGTGCTCATGGCTATTTGGAAATGGAGGTCTAAGATCACAGGGGTTTGGAGCATGGTCTAGAAAAATGAGTGCTGACTCCAGATGGGCACTTCTCTTGACTCCACAGCTTTTGCCTGGTGGTGAAGGTGTGGCCAGAACAGCCAGAGTGCTGAGCAAATATTTGCTAGTTTCTTATGTGTATGCCAGTGCCACTCCAGTCACATGGGGCACATGATTAAATAAATCAATGTCCTCACTCTTGTAGAGCTTATATTCTTGGACAAATAGACTATAAGTACTAAATGTAATGAATACACAAACTGTATTGTGCATTAACTTGTGAGAAGTACCTGTAGAAACAGTAAAAGGTGGGAGTGTTGGCTTCAACTGGGAAGTTGAGATTTGTGCAAAACCTTGAAGGCTCTGAGGACATCAGCCAAGAAGATAACGACAGCAAGAGAAACTTAAGCCTTTAAGAGTATAGTGAGTACCTTGGGACAGGACTGCAGTTTCCATGTTGGAAGTGGAAAAAGAGACCAACAAAACTGGCACAGAATGAGCAAGATGGAGAGTTAAAAAGAGAAGTCAGAAAAAAACAAACTGACCAACAGATCACACCGTGCGGCACTATCCAATGGAAATATGGCCATAGCCATAAAAACATCATTTTAATTTTTGCATAGTCACAATAAAAAGATAAAAAGAAATGGGCTAAGTTAACTTTAATAATGCATTTTATGCAACTCAACTTATCCAAAATGTAATTTCAATATTTAATCTTTGAAATTAAGAGTGTATTTTACACTTGCAACACATCTCACAATCTATACTAGCTATATGTCAAATGCTTAGTAGGCAAATATGGCTAGTGTGTACTGCACAGGGCAAACCAGATAGAGATTTCGACTCATCATTGAATACCTTTGTATTACTCTGACTTGAGAAATGTTTCAGGGTTTTAAGAATTTAATTTTCATGATTTGATTTATGTTTTAAAGATCAAGGGTAGCCTTAACAGAGAAAATACCATAAAGGATCTCACCTATAAGTGGAACCTAATCAACAAAACAAATAAGCAAGCAAAATGTAACCAGAGACATTAGATTAAGAACAAACTGACAGTAACCAGAGGGGAGGTGGGAGAGGATCAAGGTGGGAGAGGCAAGGGTAGGGCTTTCAGGAACATGTACAAAGGACACATAGACAAAACCAAAGGGGAGTAGGATTGAGGGTGGGAGGTGGGGATGGCTGGAGTAGTGGGTATTGGTAGGGGGAAAATGGAGAAAACTATACTTGAACAATTAAAAAATGTAAAAAATACAAATTTACCCATCTTTAATAATCCCCCCTCAAATTAGAGTAGAAACAGAGAGATTTATTGCAATGATCTTAATGAGGAGAGATGGTGGTTCAGGGGACCATAGCAATGGCTGGCATAGGACATGGTGGAAATCCTGATCATTTTAAATATGGGACAAACAGGAAGGATTGCATTGGGTGTGTGAGGGGAGAGTCAAGAACAATCTCAAGATGTTGTACAATCCAGATAAGAGAGGCTGTTGGAGGGATAGTGGAAGAAAGATGCCTGGTCATTTTGGAATAGGTGTGTCTGAGAAATGAATTAGACATTTACGGGGTAATGGAAGGAAGAAAGTTGGTGGTGAGTCTGGAGTTTCAGGAAGAGTGTGAAGGTAACAATTTGGAGATTCTCATCCTTGAAACTGGATAAGATCACCAAGCGAGTAAAAGTAGAAAGAGAAGAGAGTACCAGGGACACATCGCTGGGGCATCTGAGGTTAAGAGATCTATTGGAATAGTATAAAATATTTTAGTAATTTTTCAGTTTATTTAATGTTTTAAAAAATGTAACACATGCTATTAACTGTCACCATGATCATATTCTTTTTTACTGAATGACTATACCTTTTAATGAAACCTAAACCTTTTCTTTTGGTGATTTTCTTGCTTTAAAATGTCTCCCAAACCTTCAATTCATTAACTCATAGATGACTATGTTAAAATAGACAGTAAAAATAAAAAATTTGCTCATAATCAAATTAGTGACCCCAGTGTCTATAATGCATGTTTTTACATGTTCCCCAGTGACATACAAGGTGACTCTTCTTTGATAGCTATAGTGATAGATTGTGGGACAGATTTCAAATTAGCAGTTTCAAATCTGTCCCACAATTTACAAACAGATACAGCTTTGTTTTATTTGTGATAAGCTTACTAATTTGCATTTTGTATATAAAGTTTGATGGATGGTTATGTGTTTTTACTCATTTTAGTCTGTCAAAAAATGGTATCTTTATGCCTTGAATTATATTTAAATCTTAGGTATGAAGAATGCTTCATGAAACACAATCCATTATCTTATAATAGGCATATTCGTGACTTTAAAAATATAAAAATCATATTTCAAATGAGATTTTAACTCCGTGATCTCATATTATCAAGACCATTATTTATAATACTACATAGAAATGGGTATATTATTAAAACTGAAAAATATAATTAAATGATTACATAAATTTACTGACAAATAATCTTTACTATTTTGACAAAGCCATTTGTTTGTGTCTTTCCAGTCTATTCGAGAAGTCACAGGCTACGTATTAGTGGCTCTTAATCAGTTTCGCTACCTGCCTCTGGAGAATTTACGCATTATTCGTGGGACAAAACTTTACGAGGATCGATATGCCCTGGCAATATTTTTAAACTACAGAAAAGATGGCAACTTTGGACTTCAAGAACTTGGACTGAAGAACTTGACAGGTAAGGAAAATATATAAAATAGCAATGCCACTGTCATTATCAATGTAACATAATAGACACACATGTGTGCCTCTGTGTGTGTGTGTGTGTGTAGTTACTGTGGTATGTGTTATGTTGAGGAACACAGTATTTAAATATCTAGTCTTTATCCATCTTATGGGAAATCATGCCCTCTGATTTCCTTGTTTCACTTACAGAGAGTGTGAGTGCGGGCTGAGGGGTACCTTAATACTGTTATCTCAGCTGAACAGAAGTACACTGGCAGGAAGTGCTCAGTGACTGAACACGGAGATAGGAAGCAGGGTGAAGAATGTTGTGTTCAGTGGTCTCAGGTGGACGGTGGACCATATCATTGAATCTCTGCAGTTCGGCAACTCTCACTCTCCGTAAAGCTCAGTAAATACACAAGTCGTTATATCTAGTATTTTGCACAATTCTTTATTTTTTGAAAAATATACCTAATTTATTGTCAGTTTTGATGGCTCCTGTTTAGTAACTCACTAAATGCCACTTGTAATTCTTTCTCAGAATTTTTTAATGCCATTGATGACGTTTACCCCCCTAAGACTGGAGATAGATAATTGCTAACAACTTAGTGTTATTATCTTGCTACAAAAACACTGTGTAGAAATTTGTTTGGTAAACTGGTCCTTACAATCCCGCCAACATCTTATTGGTTCACACAGTTCATAGTCATAATGACTATGGTGGAAGGCTTTTGTTACAAAGTTTCTAATCATAAATTGTGCCACGTGTGCCTGTAATCAAAATGTCCTCGTTCGCAACTAATCATCCTCCCACAGTGGGAAAAAGGAGTTTAAAGTCTTAATTATTCTAAATGAATATCTATATTATATTTTGCATCAACACTGTAGTATTTTATGTGTATTTGGGTTCACTCACTGGTAATATTTGTTGATATTAAAAATGAAATACTTTGGAGATATTGCCTTAATATATCAAGTAACAAAATTATCATCATCATCATCATCATCAACCAGGCTATTTAAACACTTTGTTTCTTTCATTTACACTGGATATAAAATATATCATTTTAAGTTAGAAGTAGCTTCATAGTTAGCTAGACGTGAGAAGTGAAATTGGGATATTTTGGATGAAGAAAGGAATATTGATTATCTTACTTATTTTGGACATGTTTACTACAGAACTGAACACATAATGGTAAATATGAATTGTTCTGAATTTATAGATTCCTTCATCAATATTTTTATATCTTACTAAAAAGCAGGGCTTTTGACTAACTTATCACTTGATGAAAATGCTAAGAGAAAGAACTTGGAAATGAAATAGGTAGAGAAAAATTGAATGAGTGAAATTAGGAATCTAAAAATAATATGATCTAGTTAAAATTGCATAGGAATTATTGGGCTTTCTTCCTAATTTTCCTATGATTACAGCAAAGAAGCAATGAATTCTTTTTGGAAATTTTTATAATACTTGAATTATATTATTATTTTATAATATGTAATAATTGTAGACTGTTTTTATACAGAACATTAGTTTGTAAGAGTTCCTATTTATTTCCATGTTTAACATCATGCTACTAAAATATTAATTATTTAATCAAAATTATGCCACATTTAAACATATTGTACCTACTAAGCTTAAACCATGTGTTACTTATGACTATGAGATATTTAACTTTTGTAATACCAAAATACGTCACCTTAAAAAAGTATTTCCGGCCATGGCTGGAATAGCTCAGTGGATTGAGTGTGGGCCTGGAAACCAGAGTATCGAGGTTCGATTCCCAGTCAAGGCACATGCCTGGGTTGCAGGCCAGTTCCCAGCAGGGGACTCACGAGAGGCAACCATACATTGATGTTTCTCTCCCTCTCTCTTTCCTTCCCCTCTCTCGAAAAATAAATAAGTAAAATATTTTTTTAAAAATATTTCCTACTCTTCCAGAAAGCCTTACAATATATTCTTGTACAGTAGTAGAAATGGGCAATTAGTAAATGACAAGAAGAATGAGTTGTTTAGGGAAAAATGTGTATTTGTTCAAGAGTTATTATTTCTTTTTTGTATATAAATTTAGATGCAATAAAAGGAATGGCAGAAAATTTAGACAATTAAGAAAATTTCCAGATACTTGAATATATTTATTAGGTAGTTGACAATGACAGGTCAGCATCCTTCTGTGAGAGAGTCTGGAATCATGGGCTGCTCTTTAGGTAACAGGACCTCATGTAAGTTCAATTTTGAGAATCAAAAGTTATACAGGAAGCGTGATTTGTGTTCGTGTACAGGAATATATGAGGAAGGGCAAGAGCAACCTGACTGTTCACAGAAAGCAGAATTGGGGATTGGATTTGCTCTGTAGCAATACCTTAAGGAGCTAAGTGTTGTACGTCATCTGGTTAAAGTAACAAACAAATATGGCAATTTAATTCAGATCAGATTGTGTTTGTGTTTTGGAAATATATTTGGTTTATGTTGTTTGTTGATGTGTTATAAAATGTGAGCTATGAAATTTTAAAAAATGATCTTATGTTAATATAAGGCTACAGGTCTTTTTTTAACTCTAGATTTACCTCGTGTAATATGAAGCAAAATAGAAAGTTTGTTGAGTACCCAAATGCTACACTAATTACTGTCCTAGTGAATTACATTTTTAACTCAATTCTTAAAGGTCTAGGAGCATAAGCATCTCCTAGGCACTTGTTAGGAATGGAAATTCTTGGGCTTCACCTGAAACTTAATGATGAGAAAATGAGGGTGGAGCCCATCAACAAGTGTTTTGAGAATTCCTCCAATGATTCTGATGGCTGCTGAAGTTTAAGGAACACTGACGTAATTAATAAAAGATGTGTTACCAAGAAGTGGTAGCAAGATATATAGTTAATTTCTTCACTTGACCCAGGCAATTTTCATTCACTCAGCTTCTGGAGAGAAGGGAAGGGATGGAAACATGTGGATGGATACAGGAGAGCTGAGAGATGAAGAAGTCATTGGGAATAAATTTCATTTTGTATCATCATTTTGCCTAATAACAGCTTTTCATATGATAAACCATTACACAGACTAATAATTTCTAGTGAATTTTCTTTTTAAGCAAAGTTTTATTGTTAAGTGCATTCAATGAGTCATGAGAATGTGAATTGTCCTATAAGAAATAATTTGTTTTCCCTAAAATCTTTTTTTTTTTGCTGTGTTGACCTTAGAGTAGTATGCCTTTATCACAGTGTATTTGCCACCTGCAAACTCTGTCTTTGTGTAAAATGTATGTTTGGTTGACACAAGGACTCTCATATCTGAGGCTTATGGGTTGGGTGCCACTAACACATATCAATTAACTTCTACCTTACACCTTTTTATTAATTAGCTTGATGCTCACCCAAAGCTATTCCTTGGACTGTAGACATTATTATAGTTCTTACATATTTCCACTGTGATTGCATCCAAAGATCAGAAACACACTTCAACATTTTTTTTCTAGCTTAACAGAAAGACTTATTTGCCTACTGTCATTCATATTTTCCTGGTCCATATGGTTAGGCTAGGTAGAATGGAGAGGAGACAGGTCTCTAGATGCAGGATAAGCTAAAAGGGAGTGAGGAGCTCTTCTTGGCAATGTCTATGTGCCCTGCTACACCGGGCACATTCTGTTCTGGTCCCGGGGAGAGTCCACTTTCCATCATTGTCTGCTCAGGCACGTCATCCTCCTCAGGCAATTGGAAGTGATACTGCTGCTTTAGAGGAGTTCAGGCTGGATAGAAATCCACTACTTCCTCTATTAAGGTCACTTGCAAATGGCTGTGATTCTTATTAATCACTCCCAGTGATGATGTTTTGCTAATTTTTTAAATAAACTCCTCCTTAAACATTCTTATTCAAAGTCTGAACCAACATTTAATAATTCAAACATTAAGCCTAGGAGCTTCCACTAATTTAGTCACCTGTCTTGACAAAATGTAAAGGTTGTTTCATAACGTGGGGCATAAAATCACTATTATTTTCTGATATCTATGATTTAAAAATTACTTCATGTGTTGGTAATGGTGGATAACATTATACAATTTCATCTATATGCTGTATTATAGAAAGCAATTTTTGAGAAATACCAAAGTTCATATCTATTTTACTGTTCATATCTCACTTATACTGATGATAACTTAGGTATACATCTACACAGTACCTTTTAAAGTTTAAGGTTCCCAAAGCCCCTTCAACATTATTCAGTAATGGTCAAATAAGTGACCTAATGTTAAAAGGACAGGCCATTTGTAATTGACTCAGTGTATTTCAAAAAGTATAAATTTGAAATCAGAAATTCTGTGTTTAGCTGGAGGATCACTAATTACACTCTTGTTTTCCTTTTCTTCCTCAAAATCTTAAGTCTCAGCTCACAGTGTTCTTCCAGCATTCGTGAACTAAGGCAGAGAACTTGCCGACCACAGCAGCTTGCACATCGAGGATGTTTAGGGGACCTTGGTTTTCTTTCTCTGTGTTGTTTGGTTTTAGCTTTCCTTCATGTTGACACGTCGACAAAACACTTGCACATGCTTCCAAGTATTCAAATGGTTCCTGTTGCTTCATTGAGACTTTGAAACGTGACTTGTGTAGACAAAAAGGTGCTCCAAATTTCATCCTCTCTAATGATACTACTTTGGAACAGCTTCGTGTATAAGAACCATTTCTCTGGCAGTGAAAAGCCCGAGGCTTGTCTTTGTCTCCTCTCAGTAGGATTGCCGCCTCTCGTACTCCACAGAACTGCTCAGTCTTTCCGCGGCTCAGGCCACGCACCTGTTGCCCCAGCCCTTCACTTCAAATCTCTCTCATCACGTTTCATCCTTCTTTGGCTCTGATATGTGTCTTGACCTAAATAAGAGATATGCTCATTCTGAGCTCTTTTTCTGACATTAGAGTTGCTAAGCATTCTTCAGCTGCTCTGTGAAAGGTCTTAGTGATGTTTAAGTGGGTTCAACTAACCTAGTTCACATGGGTGTTAAATACAATGTTTGACAATGGTACTACTA